CTGAGAATAAAAAAGAGGAAAAAAAATACTTTTCAAAGGAACAGAAGATAACCATTGACATTGCATTTAATTTTTTAAAGATCATAATTGACTGGAGAGCAAGAAGCGATTTTAACATGCGAGAAGTGCGAGAAAAAACAGTTAGCTTTGAATTTATAGTTTCAATTATCAATTTCAACGAGGAAATTATGTGACCTAGCTGCCAATTTATTCTTCTTCTTTATGTACCATTTCTCTACAGGACGTAGGCGATCATGGCTCACCACAACACCCTGTCCTTTTTAGCTCCTAATAAAAGATACGCTATATATGAGTGAATACTTACTAAGACATGTCAGGTGCTCATCTACGCAGCGAAACTACCATCACAGCCGGTCATGGGAGCGATTATGATTTTGATCATGTATACTTATACAGAAAAAGGCTTCTTCTAATTTTGTAAAGCTGGCCGTTTGACAAAAACATGGTTTCAAATGAATTAAATAATCCCAAGCCTCTTCAGAAGCCTCTTCATTTATTTATTTTTACGACTTATCAACCTTTTGCGGGTTATTTAAAGCCAGAAAATATTTTTAGATTGTAAGAACATTTTTAGGAGATAATAATGAGTTATTACTCATTGGCATCACGTTGAAACACAAGTTCTCGTACGATCAACGAAGTTAAGCCGTGGTCAGTACCCATCTGGATAACCGATTGCGAATACCAAGTACTGTAAGCTTAGATGTGTGGGTGGTGTAATGGACAACGCCTCAGAATTGGAAGTCTGAGAATTGAGTTCCAATTCCAATCGCGTTCATTATATTCACTTCCGCTTCAAATACCCTTGGGAAATGTATCAATCCACCTATTCTTCCTCAGTTATGGGTTAAATAGTAAGATTTGCATCACTGAATCAGTATCATGTACAAAACAAATCTTATCGTCTAAAAAGTATTTTCTGGCTTTAAATAACCTGCAAAGGGTTGATAAGCTGTAGAAAATGAATCAACCAACTGGACAGATAGATATTAAAGCACCGTGATAGATAGATAGATAGATAGATAGATAGATAGATATAAACAGCATATATATATAGAGAGAGAGGATATACGTGTTTGCTTATATATGCGTTATGTATGTGCATTAAAACATTACCTATTGAAAAATTCATTGGCAAATTCTATTTTAAAAGTTAACTTACTTTTTTTCAGTTTTCAATGAATATTTTGGAGGCTTTTATCATTGTCAAGATTTTTAAAAGGAAACGTTTCATTTTTTCTTATATTTTTTTATATTTTTCCTTCTATTTTTCATCCTTGAGGAAAATTCTCGTAAAGATATTCTGCTTTTCGGAAACCCTTAAAATAAATAAATCGATGAATAAATAATCCAAAATCAATTTGGAACTCATCGATTTTCATGTTTTATTAATTCAAAGGGAATAAAATTCTAAGTAAAGAAACTTAAAATCTTCGAATTGCAACATTCTTTGGGTTTTAAATCCATCTGTAAAAAGGATCGGATATTCTCAAAGAAGCCTTGAAACAACAAAAACAAAGGTGATTGGAATTAACAAAAAGAAGAATTAATCCTGATGCACCTGAAAAAGCTCAGTGGTGAGACCAATGGGATGAAGATCGCGAGATCATACAGTCTATTTTAAGTGCCAACTTTGGAATATTAATGGGATATCATCAAAGGGTTTTTCTAGATACAGTCATTCATCCTTAAAAATCAGCATCAAGTGCATTTAAAATGTTTCTTTATAAGTTAATTTATTAGGGAACTATTTGAGAGAGCTATATCCCTTAAAACGTATATATAATATATATATAAACTCATATCTACAGGATACGATGGGTAACTTTTCGCCATTCTATATTTTTAATTTCGCGCATGCGCGTTGTTTGTTTTTGATTTTGTCGAGTGCACAGTAGAATCAGTCTGATACCGTCTGTGAGAAAAAGAGCACCATGACGCAATTCAGCCCACAAGAAATTTGGAAACGGAATGGTGTACTGCTTGTCATTTCAGAGTGTTTGGGTGTCAATGTGAGGAGAGTGCAGTGTATTCGGAAAGAGTTGGTTGAGTCTAATAGTGATTACGAAGGTGTTTGGAGTCATCACAATTGATGACGACATTCAACTTTTCACAGGGACCCAGACTCAACACAAAGGACTATATCAAGTGCTATGAGGAGGTAGTGCTGTCCTGGGTCAAGAGAGTGGCTGCTGAAGATTCTATATCTGGTAACAGGATTCTGCACCATGCCACACAGACAATTTCTGCGACTTAAATCTGGCCACCTAACTCCCCAGACTGTAACCCCACCTCGATTATTATTTGTGGGGCGCAGTTGAGCGGGAAACTGACAAAACTCCTTGTAACACCAAAGATAAACTTAAGGCAAGGATTATGGCATCATTCCCTAATTTAAACAAACAGACCGTCCAGAAAAGATGCAGGATGTCAGTGTCATTTTCATTTTTGCGTAATTTAGACGACAATTTACCTATATATCCATCTAGAAACACTTGGGTGTATCCCATTAAGTTGGCATCTTTGAAAACTTTTTCCCCCCCCCCAGTACACTATTTAGCTTTTCAGAATGTAAAGGAACATTGTTTAATTTCTTTTACGATATTGTTCACCCAGTAAAAATCGCATGGGGTAGTTTTATGAACAGTTATGAGGATATGTAAGCTAGATAACTGTTGATCCTAGACTTGAAGTGATTATTCTTGGGGAGAAGCTGTTCGGATCGAATTTTCATCTTTTGCTTAAAGATTCTTGTTTGTGATCTGTACCACAATTTGTCTTAATTCTCTTTATGTACCTTTATCACCATGAACTCATATAATATATTTATGATTGAAGTATAGTCTAAATACTGTGCCAACATAAATTGGCTAAAAAAATAATCAGAGCTCTATTGAGGATGTGAAATGTGCACACTGGCTAAAATAATAATAAAAAGCTTTAAGTTATATAATAAATATATAACTAACAATAACAGGCTAAGTACATTTCCACCTAAGAACCATTCCTTCTGCTTAATGAGGGATGGCTGGCAAGACATAATATTAATAGATTCCAACAATTCCAAATGAAATCACGAGAGTGCTTTCCCCAGTACTTACATATTAATAAGAAAAAGGAAGAACATAGAAGCGATTCAATTTTTGGTATAGACTTTTTTAAAAATTTAAACGCAGTACTAGATTTAGCGTCGAGATCTCATCAATTTACAGTTGTAGCCGTAAATTCTATTCTAACAGTTTTTTTTTCTCGCTTGTGGAACTACCTTCCAACTCCACGATTTCTAGCCAACTTTAATTTCCAAAATTTTAAATGTAATCTCAATCGCTATCTACAATCCCCACTGATTACTCTTTTCTCTTCTTGCTCATTAGTAATGTTTCTGTTCCTAATTCTTCCACAACCAGTAACCCTCTTGTGTCACTTGGGGTGAAATTTATTTAAAGAAATTAATCATATACTCCATCCGACGATGTGTTGCTTATATTCCATTTCAAAATTTACAAAGGAAAGCTATCAAAGAGGGTGGCAAGCTTTCTCAAGGGTTTGGCAATTGAACATCGTCTTCCATCATCTGCAGAAATCTTTTAAGCACGAATTCCAATTAATTTTGCATCGCATTGTTCAGGTGAAGACAAATGTTTTTTGCATATCAATAAAAAACTAAAAGTCAGTGGTTATCGCACAAATGATTGACTGGTGCTAACAGCGAAATAAGGAAACGATACACAAAAATCCTTGCTTTAATGGAATATGACAGGTGTCGTCCATTACAAGATTTGGAACATATATGAATCGTCGCTGCAGACATTTATTGCAAATAACTTTGCTCTTTTTGTCCTGCTTTAGTGAAGAATGCAAAGCTAAACTCTGCAAAACAAATATGGTATAAAAATAGGTCATTACATCGTCCATACTCAAAACAGATTTTCATTTTTATCGATCAGAAAAAAAAATTTTAATAAAATTCAGAAACAAAGAAGAAATTAGTATTTTAGGGGAAAAAAACCAAATGACATTAAATATGGAATCAAAAATTTGCCTTTTTTGATCTACAATTACTGAAGATGAAAGGGATTATATTTTTGGAAAATAATATCTAAATAAATTTACTTCATACTAGCAGCATGGCACGGCGTTGCCTGTGATTGATTCAAAAATCGTACGACTCATACAGCAATCGCTATCACTTGACTTAAAATATTTTTGCCCTTCCTTGCCTTTAAAGGGGTGCCCTTTGCCGTGCTGATGTTGCTACATGCCTTACTTCTTGCCTATCTCACACTGCGAATTTTTTCTAAGCTCTATACTAAACATTAAATCTGTTACGAAAAAAGAACTAAACAAAATGAACACAAAACGATCAGCTTTAAAAAAGGAGTCGTAACTGGAAAAACCGAATGAAAAAAGAATGTTAACAACAAATACTTTTTCACACCCAAACCAGTTCTGCGGAATCAGAATCAACGTTGAGTTTAAGCAAGCGAATGAGCCAATTGGAGTAAAGTGCCATGCAGATTTAAATTTTTCCAACTTCTGACGAATGCAGCTATCGATTTTTTTCACGCTAGCATGCTAATTAACATTCGTGTTAGTAACCTATTGGCTCTCACGCTGGCCAATAGAATCTCCCTGCCTATTCGTGGCAGCCAGCTATAGGCTCTCACTGTGGCCAGTAGAAAATGGCCGAAAACTACATGAAAACTGCCGTAGAAGCATGAAAAATCGATTATTTCCACTATCGATGGGAGTTGGGAAATGCAAAGTCGGTCTTGGCCTTCCCACTAACTTGGAGCGTGTGCATGTAGATTTTAGTGCAAATCCGTCGGAAATTGCGGCCGTGCATTCGTTACACATACACACACACATGTTGCCTTTTATAGATAGAGATTTCTTTTTAAATCCTGTCTTGTGAAATGAAACTGCTTTACGAACACCAAATTATTCCTACACACATAATGTATCGCAAATAAAAATTATCACGTGAATAGATAGATAAATAGATAGATATGAACAGACTGAAATAGATACTGAGATAGATAGGTAGGTAAATATGAACGGAGATAGATAGATACGAACAGACTGAGATAGATACTGAGTTAGTTAGATACACACTGTGAAATAGATAGACAGATAGATAGATAGATAGATAGAGAGAGAGGTTCAGACGGAGATTAAAGAAAAATTACCATTTGATAAGAGACATCATTCTATTAGTGATCCAATATTTATGGATGCCAAAGAACTTTTGCACAAATGCCTCGTTATCGCTTATATTTCAATTTTTCATTTTATTGATTTGTTTTTGACATTAAACAATACCTGTACGCACCTCTATGCACCTTCTTTTGTTTTTTTCTTTCTTTGTTTTGTTTTTTGTTTTCTTTGCATTTACAAGTATCATTTCCCTCCAAATGTTTTCTGGAAGCTACAATTACTCGCGATTTTCATAGAAAAATCAAAAAGTACGCTTGAAAACAAGTGATGTATGATTTGCATACACGTAAATTTGCTTTTCTTTGAAAAAATATTTTCTGCAATAGATTTTTGTGACTATTGTTTTCTTAACTATAGGCCAATCCTCTATCCGGAAAGCCACTCTTTGAAGAGAAAAAGGAACACACACACACACACATATATATAAATATTTCATATGAAGTTTGCAAAGTTTACCAATTTTAATTCTCTCTCTCTCTCCCTCTCTCTCCCTCTCTCTCACACGCACACACGCACACATATATACACCCACCAAACGGACAAATGTAAAAACTAAATAAAAAATTAATAAAATTTTCCTTTCTGTCCTATTCAACGATGCATATTTAAAGGAAAGTTTGTTGCCCCTATATATATATATATATATATATATATATATATATATATATATATATGTGTGTGTGTGTGTATGTATATATATATATATATATATATATATATATATATATATATATATATATATATATATATGTATGACTTCTTTGCATTTTGTGCATTTGAGTGCATAAATCACATTTTAAGAGTTGCAGTTTAATTTTTTTGTTTATTATGAGTCTTTTTGTTAGGTTTTCAAAAGTGTAGGAGTTTCCTTCTATAATGAAATCACCCACATCTTTTTCGTTGCATTTTATGACCCCCTGTATTGTACGTTGGTTAAATTTGGATGATATTAATATTTGTTTCAGGTTAGGGTTAGATTGACGTTTGCTTTTAATTATTTTTGTTGTTTTTATTATATTTTTCATTTTATTATTCTTGCTAAGTAGGTCTAGATTGTTTGTAATTTCTGTAAACATTTCTGGATAGTTCTTGTTGTATGTTGAGACATGTGCTAGAGTTTGTTCGACGTTATGTTTCTCTAGATTTCGTAGTTGTTCTTGGGGAATTTTTTCTAGTTGGAAACCTTGCTTTATTAGTGATGTAAATTTAAACTGCAACTACAGAAATGTGATTTATGCACGCAAATGCACAAAATGCAAGAAGTCACATATAGTTATCAGCCAAGCACTAAACCATTCACAGAAGAAACACCAAATTGCCCGGCAACAGAAATCTCTTTGTATTACAACATATCTACAAATGTAATCATGGTAAATTTAAAAGAATGCTAATATACCAAACAGACAATTAATTCCAGGGTCATAATTTATTCCATTGGAATCGTCAATACGATCCAATTCATCAGACCTACAAATTCAAAAAGAAAACAGAAAAACAACTCCGGAAATAAAAATAGAATTTAGAGAGAGTGTAAGTATGAGAGTGTGGGACGAATGTTAGAGTTAAAGGGAGTTAAACAGACGAGAAAAGGTGGGAGATTAAACCTTAACAGAGAGAAGTTTTAGAGAGGTGAGTGGAAGAGGTTTAAGTGAGAGAAATATGAATGTTGTCGGATGCCTAATACATTTAAGATACATTTCGTGGTGACATACACACACCATAGACGATCTAATCTTAAAGATCAGAATAAGAGGGAGGGAGAGGAAAAGAAAAGAAAAAAGGGTGGGGAAGAGAGATGGGGCGGGGGAAACTAAAACTGAAGGGCATTTACTGAAAGGGCCGCTGTGTAATTAAGAAAATTTGACAAAATTAATATCGACTACAGGTTACAAATCAAATATAAACATATAAAAAATAAATATAACGGTTATCTAATCTAGCAAGGACCAATATTTTTATGTTCAAAAACACATGCGAAGACACACAAACACAATAACATATACACGTACATACATACATATAGGCGTGTACCCACATACATACATACATATACCCATGTACACACATACACATATATCCACATATACACACACATACACATTTACATATACATATATATATATATATATACACACATGTATATATATATATATATATATATATCTGTATGTTTATGTGTACACATATATATATATATAGATATACAAAAATATACATGTATGTGTATGCACCTATGTATATATATTTATATATTTTGCATATGTATGTATATTTACCACTAATATTATATATATATATATATATATGTCTGAAGGAGAAAATCTTCATAATCAAACATAAAGATCCAGACATACTACTAAATATACACAATGAACTAGTTTTTAAATGCCGGCACAAAAACAACCTAAACCTAAGCAAGTACACTAAGAAATAATCATATAGGAACAGCAATTTTGAATGTTTTATATTCCCTTTGTTTTTAGAAATATTACTATGCACACGTGAACGCTAACACATGATTATATGTATACAACTATGATAATGTATTTGCACACTGAGACACATGTATATGTTTTTATACGGAAAAAAAAGCATACCGGTTTTTTTTTTGGTTTTTTTTGTGAGTGTGGAGATGTACAATTAGATAGGTACTTATAGATTTTGCCATAAATATGAAAGATCGGGTAATATTATATGTGTAAAGATATAGATAATGTAATTAAATACTGAGATAGTCTTCGAACGCAGGCATAAGTGGATGCACGGGTGGACATGAGGATAGGGACAAATACGTGGGTAGATATATGTAAGTGCAAATTAACGCATCTGTGGGTATGTAGATATTCTGCATATTGCGTATGCATATGCATATGTGTGTGTATGTATATGTATGTATGTATGCAGATATGGGTGTGTGTATGTATGTGTATACGCATGGATGTGTAAATATATATATATATATATATGTACGTATGAATATATATGGATATGCAGATGTCCGTGTGTGTATATGTATATATGTAAGTATAAGTATACATGGAGATAGGTATGGAGACATGTGGATGTGCGTTTTCTCTGCAGGTGTATATGTGTAAAGATGGAAATATACATGTATCGTTTCGTGTGAATGTGTGTGTAGGTGTATATAGGAACTCATAGGCATATAAGACGATATAGGGATGTGGTTACAAATAGGGGTTTAAGACATGTGTAGATAAGAAATTGTAAAAGAAGGGCTTAATTTTCTGCTAGTGACATCTCTTCCAAATTTCTCTAATATTCTCCAATTGGAAGTGAATTTTAAATAGCACGAAGGGAAAGTTTTAGATTAGCATTTTAATTGAGATTGAAAGATACTACCCCAATGTGGAAAATAAAATTATTTAAATGGAAATAACTGTTGATAACTGGATACATAAAAACAACCACGAGTTTACTTAATGAACAAAAATCAAAAAACAATCACGAGTTTACTTAATGAACAAAAAATCAAACGAATAAATGTCAACCTAACAAGCTATAAGATAAAAGTTTTAGTGGAAAAAAAGTACTAAATATAAATTGGATTACTCTTCCAATGTTCTGTCTATGGATTTTCCAATCGACTGCTTCATAGAAAATACCCAAAACTCCACCGAATTTCAAATTAATTTCTTCGTTGATTGTTTGAAAATTTAGATATTTATCAAACCTTAACCTCCCAAATATGCACGTTAAAGTAATGCGAACTGACAGCGTCTAAGAATTTGAATGAAACCTGTCGTGTAATTTATTGGGGTTGTTGGAACGTCTCCCTTTAATGTAGTTCTTATCGCTCACCCCTTAACCACCTTTATCTAGAGACGAGACGCGTTAAATTTGAGCAACACCCAGCCGACACACTGGGGTTAAAATAGGAAACTAAAATGATACATATGACACACTCATATCCTCTCTCCCACCTCACTTCCTCACTTCGTTAACTTTGCGTATACTTGATGAAGTCCGTAAAAAACGTGTGAATTTCTTTTCATTTTTCATTTCAGCTTTTGGAAGTAAAGTCTGATGATCCAGAACCCTGTTAAAGGGGTTATTGTGAAATAGCTTATTACATGGAATCTTAACGTGGTCTGTCTTTTATTCAAACAAATATATATATATATATATATATATATATATATATATATATATATATATATATATATAAACTCTTATCACCAGTTCAAGAAAGACATTTGAATCATTACTACGCAAAAAATTCTTTTTTATAATATGTGGAAATATCTACTGTTTGCTTGAAGAGGGTTGCAAAATGTATACAATTATTTATTTAAAATATGATTCCATCGCTACATAAGATATATATATATATATATATATATATATATATATATATATATACACGAACTTGGTTGATCATCTATCCGAAGAGCTTCTCTTAAAAAGAACACACGCACAAAAACAAATATATAGATATATATTTATGTGTGTGTGTATATATATATATATATATATATATGTGTGTGTGTGTGTGTGTATTTAAATATATATTATTAAATATAATAGACAATGAATGTCTAGCATGTCTAATAATGAGACATTCTAATATTTGAATGTTTGCTTTAATTTCTGGTGAAAATGAAGGCAAAAACTGTACAACACTTGGATGTTTGTTTAAGTTTTATTATTTTTTTTTATATATTAAGTTTCTTGAACCGAAGAGTTTCTATTAAAAACACTTCCACACACACACACACACACACACACACACACACACACACACACACACACACACCCACACACATATATACATATATATATATATATATATATATATATATATATATATATATATATATGAATTTGATATATATGAATTTATCCAAAGAGCTTCTTTT